CAACTGCACACTGTACTTGTTCGTGAAAGTAGCAGCAAAATTTTGAAAGTGGTCTGCGATCCTATATTTGAGTTATAAAATAGTGTTGGTGACTTGTTTTCACATGTAAATGTTAGAGACAAATTTTATAATTTGCACTTGAAATTAAGTATATGAGAAGAAGCTTGGCTCCCATCACGCTTCCTTTTTATAGTTTTGAGATTATAATTTCGATGAACTTGTCGAAAGCAACTTTGAAAAATTTGGAAGGTCGTAAGTAACGCCCCTTTATTCAAAAATGGGTGATTTCGCTTCCCCCCCCCCCTACACCTCTCAAAAAATACACTTCGAGATGAATTTATACTTGAGAAATGATTATAACCACAATCGTTCCACTGACAGTTGCTGTTTCGATTGCGCATGTTTATGATGTGCAATTGCACACATAGAACCGTCCATATGAATTAGACTATATGTATCGCTTTTGTGTTTTTTGGCGTCTAATTGCGTTGAGGATTCTTTGAAATGACGAAGAATATTTTAACAATGGATAATAGCACTCAGCTCAGCTTGTTGTTCATCATCAATATTCATTCATTTCCATAATTTTTCGGGATGAACACTAGAACTCTGTAGATGAGAGTCTATCCAAGTGGAAAAGCATTCATGACAAACAGGAACCTTACGTCTGCCTGATCAGTATGCGAAGCATCGTTTAACTGCTCATCACTGCTCGCTGAGCTGTTATCCGCTTGGTTCGCCTTGTTTGAGTGGGAAATCGCAGAGATTCCGTGAGTTTGTCTCATCGTTTTAACTACCCTTTGATTCAACTGTATTGGCGGCTGGAAGGCGGGGATTCGTGACATGGTTATGGCTAAAGAATGATCAGAGAGCACGTTTGCGAGAGAGGCGCAGGTTGCGTCGCAGGTGCGAGCGGTGCCTTCCAGCCGCCAATCTCGTTGAATCAAAGGGTACTTCTTGTGTTGTAGCAAATGAAAGCCTGAATTTTGCATTCGAACCCTATTACCAGCTTTCTCAATTTTCCTGCACTTCATTCGTTAGCCAGTCTCGCATCAAGTGTAGTCCTCCCCCAACTTGTCGAATTCGTCATTTCAGCACTTGCCACTTCCTGAGAACCCCTCCTTCGGAGGACTTAGCTCTAAAAGATGTAATTTTTCTCAGCGAGTGATTATGAACGAGGAAATCCGTGTTGGCATTGTTAGCAGATTATTTCACCTGCTAATGACAGGTTAAAAGAACGAAACTCCCGCAACAAGGCAAAGTCATGCAAAACTTTTTTATCTGTGACATGTTCTGGATTCTGTGTGGGTCATATTAGTGACCAGAAATTCGGCCATACTATTCCATTAATGTAATTTGTGCGATTTTTGATATTTTGTGATTTCCGTATTCCGTGCAACTGAAATTTTCGTCGTACCTGAAGAGCAGAAACTATCGCCCTCACAACAATGAGCTGCTATTTGAGACGCACCCCAACTTTTTGCTCATCCTAACAGTCACAGCCATCAGTACTCAAATAGATTGAGTGGCAAGTTAAGTAAATAGCGGCTAGCGCTTATTTAGCATATTTCACAAGCATTCTGAAGGTGGAAGTTTCCGCGCTCTATGAATAAAGGAAGTCACATAAATCGAGGAAATCACAGGAAAACAGGTATCCTTGCGGATCACAGAGCTCACATAAATAGCATCGTTGATATCTACGATATTATTCAAAGACAGTGTCTAATTAATCCGGGTACCTGGCTTGAGTGGAAACTGACTGGGAGGTCTCAGCTCATTCTGGCAAAACGCCACTCTTATGAGTCATTCCTTGCCCAGAAATTTGACTCTAAACTCTCACCCGACACCACACTCGAGATATAGTCTGCTTATGAAGAGTACGGTAGTGGGCAAGAACCTAGAGTTGAACTTCTCGGCCAAGAATGAATCATATTATCTACCGGTTGAGCATTAGCCTGTGCACATGTACGACCAAAGGGTAGCTCTTGTAATTTCTTGGACAACTATAAACGCATAGTTTTGTTGGTATAACTCCCCCTGTATCTGCTAAAAATAATTGTGTTTCTCTCGGCTCAAGAGTATCGTTCAACGACGTGCTTGACAAATAGAAATATTCCTGTGAATTGCCAACAGTCGGCAGCTATTTGACTTCGGAGCAGCTCTTGTGCGGATTTCGGATCTGCCCACACTTTCCGAGCTAACTCTGACGAATTGTCAGAGCTATTGCCTAGATGTTCACTTTCAGCACTTCTCTCACAATGACTCAATCAGTCTGCAGCAATTTGTATCTCAACGCCCACCTCGTACGCGGTTATCCGAACTTTGATAGCTTGAGAAAACAGGAACTAGTCGTGACTGCTGATGTTTTCTCAGTGTGTCCATTCAATTCCACAGCCTCTTTCAAATTAGCCACAGAGAGTAATTTTCGGATAATGGCGCTAAAGGCCGTAAAAAAACTTTCAGATTCAGTGGCTGCAAACGGCAAATATTCGGGAGAAAAATGCTGGTAGCTTCGTGCCAGATTCACTGCTAGTTTGTTCATTCCGTTAATGGAGTTCCTCTCGTATACTCTGTAATGGCGCTGTGCATCATTATGATACTCTGAGTAATCTGCTATTCAGAAGTGGCAGGTCTAGGTCTAGGCTCTGACAAGGACTTTCTACTTCCAGAGGTATAAAAGTGTCGTTAAGTAATCAAAAGTTCGTTTAGAGTTACTATCTTGGTCCACAGTATGAAGGTGGGCAGAAATGTCCAGTTCTCGCACAAAAGCTCTCGCCTATATTTTTTCCAATTTTTTTTGTCCGTATAGCTCAATGAATGTAGATTATATAATTAAACATTGGAGAACAAATCTTGCATCCTATCTAACATTTTTTCTTCTCCGAGAAAATCATGAAAAACTTCGAAGAAAACATAAAGACTGCACGTCATACGTCTCCGTCTCAAGTACTAGAAAAAATGATTTTGTTTTGATACTTCGTTTGACGTGCGTGTGACAAAACTTCTTCTCTTTGCATGTAATTGCATTCTGCAGGGGACTTTAAATGATTTAGAGAAAAAGCTCAAATGCAACATTTCTAACTTAACTGAGATTTGAAATAAGGCTTTGCAAAGAAAATTGTATCATGAAACCAAACATAGCTGAAGACATGCAGGCCTTTCCCTTTTCTTTACATTTCATTAGTCATATGTATGAAAAAAATATCTATTTTCATTGCGAAACCCAGCTCTGATGAGCAAGCTGTCTGAAGCCAAATACAAAAATCCTTTTCTAAATTCAGCTATCGTCATTGAGTCTTTAAGGCTTTGAAGAGCATATTTTAAGTCTTCTAAAAAACGATTTCGTTTTCGCATGCAAATACAGTACTCTATAACGATTGTACAGTTGAAAATGAAAAACCAGCTAAGATTTCTTCGTCGAGGGGCAGTTTCACACCTTTATTACCAGTTATCGTTACTCAAAATTTTCCAAGAGTAATAATTTGAAGCTATGTCCTTACATATCTCGCCTTCTAGAATTTCACTTTGTAATTCTGTGTTTTCATACTGTGTTGAGTACACTGGATGTATAGAATTTTTGGCATTGTTAACTCTCAGGACAAATATGTTTTCTTACATCCCAGAATGCCGCTCAATCACGTGTTTATTCCGGAAATCTCATTCTTCAGTATCTAAAGTTTTCAACCATTCCATTAGAATGAGCACAATGTACTATTTACTGAGCCTTAGTTCAAAAGTCTAGAAGTCGAGATTAAACAACGCTGAACAACTTGTATAAATAGATTTTTCACAATGCTCTCATTAAGCTGGTCTGATTCATTCTTCACTCACTTTATTTAAACCTACTTCCTGCTTGAATAGCCAAAGAAGTGATAAAGTTTTGACCACGTGTCAGAAAAGTCCCTTTTTCTAGTTGAACGCCCTCTCCTAAAGTATTTGTAATTTAGAAAAGTGCAGCTATCGGATCTTTTGCCTACGTTAATTCCATCTCATCTTCGCCTAAATCTCAAGATAAAACCAAGTTGACATGACTAAATAAGATGATCTAGTAGGGGATATCCCGCAAAAAAAACACAGGAACACCCTCAAAACTTCCTCCATCTAGGTAGTCAAATATAAATAGCCTTTTTGGAATTGTTCCACATGGATTTTCTCCAACACATTCATTCTGACTACTTTTTCTGTCTAAAACCTATCTCGAAATATTTTTTGTCGCATGAGTAACTTCTTTTAGGGATATATTATTCTGTCGAAATCGTTTCTACTGCGATACGTTCTCTTCTCCTTTACATAATAATTTAGCCATTAACAAGTGCTGGCTCGAATTTTAGTGAATCATTAACTATAATCATGGCTGAGTATGGGATTGAGGTACATCCCACTCCGCCCCCAGGATCATTTTTCATTCCGTACCGATCCGCCCCCAACAGGATAGGACAATCCCAGCATCATTTACTTCCTGTCTAGTGCAAATTTTCAGTGCAAGATTTGCATGAACTACTTCCCATCGAATCAAGATTTATTTGAGCTGAGTAGTTCCGGTAGAATAGGTTTGTGGCTTAAGAGGATAAATATGAGTTACGACAAGCACATATCCTTTTGTGAACTTGAAATGTAAGTTAAGTTTTCTAAGAAGCTCAAGAATTTTTTGCAGTATGTTGCAATGTCGTTTCCTTTGAAAACTTGCTAAGCCCAACTTTCTCTTACTATTTATATGTCCTAAGGACGACATTGCGAACAAACTAAGTTAACTCTCCCACGTACTTCTGCCCAATTCAGATTATCGGTGCAGCCTCCTTGCACAAGCAAATCTATTTTCATAAGTCAACGTTTCTGACATACAAGCACCCCATACATTCTTTTACCTTCCTTATTTTTCCTGGAGAGGTTATTCACAGCTTCAATTCTACTTCTGCTCATCACGCTTTTGTCTATTCTATTTTTCGAACCGAAAATGTAGTCATGTCGGATGTCCTATGTGCAAAAAAAGTTTCAAAAAAGTTATAGGGTCATAAGAGATGTCGTAGCAAATGGCAAGCAACGAAACGACTACCGAATGGGCGGTCGAGGACTCGCAACAACTTCTGCACCATGTAAGTGGTCGTTCTCATGAAAGAGATTTTTGTTTACACTATAAACACGTCAAGAGTAAAGATCAAGTACTCGATTTGTAGTATGATACTATTTCTAGCTAAGATTCTCGCACAGGGTTCAGGGATTGTGAGATTAAGACGTCATCATAGTTGCTTGCATCACGAGGAAGTTAAATTAAAGATTTTATAGAATTCTGCGTATTTCTGCGGGGGTATAGGTTTCAAAACATATCGCCACTTGTCAAGAAAAAAGTGAAATATTTTCTTATGAAAAACGTGTTTTTGCGTTGCTGACAACGTTTGTGCGTGAATAATGGCCAGAAATTTGATGCGCCCTTTAGTCACTTTTTCTACGCGTAATTGTTGTTACCACCGCAGATACGCTATAACAGCCACATCCATGGCACCAGGAAATCTACAAGATATGGAGAAACAAGTAAATGCTTTGTTGTATATTTAATTACCTAAAAATTTTGCATTTGTTTTTTTTGCCTTCTATATAATATCTGGTAGTATAGTTATTGCGGCGTATATAGCGTCTTGCGGTGGTAAGAACATTTGCGCGTGAAAAATTGGCCAAAGAGTGCTTATCTCAAAGTTTCAAAGTTCTGCGCCCCATGCTCATTATTTACTCCCAAACATTGCTAGCAATGCAAGAACAGTTTGACATATAATAAACTATATACTTGGCGGTATTTAGTGAAAGATAAGCTCGCTCTTCTTTCAATGGAACTAATCCCTCATGTAAAAGATTTCTGCAAAAACTTTAAGCATACCATTTTTAATCAGATTAAGAACAGTGGATGAGAATCACTTTCATTCGTAGGCCTTTATGCAAAGAACTTTTGAGAGCGCTACTTTTTATACTACCTAAATTCTTATTGTTCTGCATTTTCGCGTCATATTTATATCGTGCAACACCTTCTATGCTGACGTACTTTGACAAATTTGGGGCATTAATTTTCAGCCGAACGCCGTACAACACCCACTTCATCAATTCGTCACATGTGAACACGAGCACCCCCTGCTTTTCGAGCAAAAGAGTGGCAAATTGAGACTGGGGAAACGATACGCACCGTAGTTGTGATTAGATTCCATGTTTCTTCTAAATAATTCATTTTGTTACAGTAAAGGGTGGAAGCAATCAAAAATAGGATTGTTAGCTAGTATGGGAGCTCGTCTCGTTTTTGCACAGAATTGTTATAAAAAAACGATTTTGCCTTTAAGCTAAACTCGCAAGAATTAGCCTCGATGTGAATTTTATTGCCCGATCAGATCATCTTTGAGTTAAATACATATCCGCTAACTCCGCTAACAATTCTAATTGATAATTTCTGAGACATTCCTGGAATGCTTGGAAGGCATTTACATCTTACTTTCTTCTTTCTCAGAAACTATGATATTCAGCATACTTTTGTAAAGATGATGTTAGAGCATAGTTTCTTTCACTTTTAATCTAATGACGAAATATGAACGGAAGCATGGGGAACAAAAAATGTCACGAGTTACGAGCTCTCAGACATGCATTTGTAGCTCCCATTTCCTAAAGATTCTTGTATGATATAGAAGCTTCCTTATAATCTGATGCGATTTACATTACACCAAAGAGCATGCTGTCATGTAAATTGAATTTTTGAGCTAAAAATGAAGGCCTAACAAGGTAAATCTCTGGCATCATTCCAGATATTTTGTGTCTTCTGGCAGAAGCAGCGTAGTTTGTGTCTGTAAAATTGTTGTCGGGCTCGACTTGAGTTTCGATGTCGCAAGCTTTAATCTGAAAATTCTTGAGATCACTGCTCTTGTCTCAAAAATACAAACAAATTTGAATGCCAGAGGTATAGGTAATAAAATCATACCTGAAAAATTTTTTGACATAGTGATGATTGAATTTCTCTGCTACGAACTACGAAAACATTAGTTGAGTCTCATAGCGATCTGTCAGAAGTTGGCGATAAACAATACTGAAAGCTAAATTCTGTTTTTTCGCAATCTTGCTTGCAGTCAAATTCTTGCAAATTTAAGGAGAGCAAAATTTTCCTAATTTTTAAACAAGAACGGATCGCATTGTTTTTGTTGGAAAATCTTATCGTGACAAAATCGTCGACATTTTATATACGTGGGATCCCAAAATGTGCCTACTGTTTGATTGTTAATAACTCTCTTGCCATGGAGTTTTTCGAGAAGATTTAGGTAACATTTTGTAGAGCTAGCTTCAACTTAGATTTATAGTATGATGCGAATTGCCAATCTCTCTTTTTATTACTGTAGTATTACTATAGGGATTCGCAGCTGGTGCCACCGTGGGATAGGCCGTACGAAAATTTTTTTTAAAAAATCTGTAAACTTATATAACAAGGTTCTCATGCAGGTTAACTTTACTGCATAGCTATTTGTGCGTTTGCAGAGCTTTTTGAATGTCTTAACCAAGTTTTCGACGAATATCAGAAATTGGTTGTTAAGGCATAGCTGACTATTAGGTTAGCACGAAAGTTCTGTCGCACCATTTTCAAAAACTCATAACTTCTAATTCTAACAATCGATTTGAGGACTTTTAATTTTATATGAAAGAGTAAGTCACGCTCTTTATGACGACATCTTAGCTGCTTGCTAATGCTCATCTGTTGCATAGATAGGAGCGGTAGAAGAAAACTAGACAAAATTCGAATTTTCTGTGTAGGGTCATAAAGAATCAAAAACTTGCAACAAAAATTGGAGCAGTCGGTATTGTAGGTTACTTCAGTAGCTCTTTCTGACAGTGCAAAGTTTGCGCTGATTGGGCGTCTTTATAAAAAGTTATGATTTCCCTGAAAAATGCCAAAATTAATCGAATTCGCCCTTTTGTATTGGTTGCTCGAAAATCATAACTTTTCATAGGGACGTTCAATCGGCGCAGGCTTTGCGCTGTTAGAAAGAGCTAGTGAAAGAACCTATAATACTGACTGTTCCGATTTTTGTTGCAAGTTTGATTTTTTATGACCTTACACAGAAAATTCGAATTTTGACTAATTTTCTTCTATCGCTCATATCTATAAAGGGATGATCATTAGTAAGCAGCTAAGGCGCCATTATAAAGAGCATGATTTACTTTTTCATATAAAAGTAAAAACCAAACCGGTTGGAAAAATTAGAAGTTATGAGTTCTTGAAAATGTTGCGACAGAACTTTCGTGCCAACCTAATATAATTATACCGACTACATAACTTACGAGAAAGCACTACAGTTGAGTACGAGTTTCATTTTTCGCGGCTCCAATTAACCTACTAAAAAAGTTTTCAGATTCTTGAGTCTCTTCTAGGAGTAAAATATGACCCTCAATGACGCAAAAGTTTCTACCGTTATCCCTACAATGATGAAAAGAGAACGCTAATTCGTTCCATAATGATGCCAGCCCCGAAAACGTTACTTAATTCTTCTCGAAAGACTCCATGACAAGAGAGTTATTAACAATCAAACAGTATCCTACATTTGTTAGTGTAGTAAATTGCGAATATATCAGTGAATTGCTGACATCGTGGCAACTCAAAATACCAATGAATTGCTGACATCCTGGCAACTCAAAATACAGTTTACAAACTTCAAAATGATTTTGTATTCTTTTGATGGCGGATAATTCTGCGAAGAGTCAGTCCTCGATTTTCTAACTCTTATACTAAGCTCTAGCCCTGCTAAAAGTATGTACTCTTGAGGCGAAGGTATTGGAATTACGACAGATAGATGCAACATCTCATAAGTCTATAAGTAATGAAATTATCTTATAAGCTCAAAAACAAATGTGATTAGTATGTCCTCTAGCTTGTCAAGAGTCTTCACTAATATTCTGCCTTAGGCAAGGATGCTGGTCAACCTTGTATGCTGTCTGGCTGCAGTTCTCGGCATTCCAGCAAATCTGTTCGTACTGATAGCCATTTTCTACTTTCGGTGAGTATTTTAGTGCAATTTTATGTGTCTATATATTGATGAAAAGGTAAAGCACTATATGGGGCATTTTCTTCATTTTCTTATGCAAATTCGATCGGTCGAGACACTGTTTACTACATTTAGCGTTGGTTGCTGTAGCTTCATTTTGGGTTGCACTTCTTTCGAACGTTAGCTTCAAAAATGTCTCTTCTGGGGGAGAAAACTTCAATTCTATTAAGAAATGGGCTACTTAAGTAATCTGCTAGTAAGTTGCACATTTTGAAAAAAATTCCATTCACATACAAAAACTGCGCAAAAGAATTTCTTGCGGCAGAATACTTTCACAGCACTTTCACAGCACGTGAGCATTCGAAGGAACAAAAACATCCAAGCAGCTATTTCTGGATGTTTAGTCAAAGCCTCCTTTATCCTTATTATCCAGGATTAAGGAGTGGAAAGCCTGAAGCTCAAGGCTTTGTCTGGGAAAAATGTTACTCATTGCGTGTAAAAAGTGGATAGGGGGAAGGCTTCATGTTGGGCGTAACTCAAACTTCATTGTTGGATATAGGCTCAAGGGACCAGTTTATTGGCATGCATATCAAAAATAAAGAGGACCCTATTGTTGCAGCTAAGAAATAGTATTCTCTCAAATCTTGTTAGGCTGATTCGGATCAATTGAAACCTGTAAATTCTATGTAGGGTTTCGTTTTAATCACCTTGACAGCTCAGCAGTTCTAAGTTTATCAGCTAAATTTAAAGCATGCTTTTCGGAAAAAGAGCTTGAGCTTTGAAGCATGCTTTTCGGAAAAAGAGCTTAGAATGAGATTTCGAACCAGGTGCCTACATCTAACAAAAATGTATTTACAATCTTATCAGCTCTGACGAGAAAATCCTGATTTGCAGATAGAATGAACTCGACAATTCCTTGAAACGTATTTTGATTTGATTAAATTATTGATTCTACATTACAGAAATGGCTCTACATTACATTCCAAGGATTATTCGCCATTTGATACTTGGTATAAAATGGCATGATATAGGTTTAGCAGAGTCGAACGAATTTATAGAACCACAGCTCGTATTCATTGATGTTTTTCATTACTCTATTTTGACCCTTGACAATGTTGACTTTGCTTTTCGTTTTCAAGTTAATTAATTTTTGGGAAACTTTTGCTGTAATAAATTTTAAAGCACCAGCTCTCCATCACTTCGATCGTGTTGCTTGATTAAGTTGTTTGGAAAAAATGATCCTTAACGTGTTCTCAAAGCATTGACGTCATAGTCGAGCTACCATTCTGGTAATGGCAATTTCGCTAAGCGGGATGCGGGGTTTGGCGATTCCATTAACTGGTTTGACTTTTTTTTCAGTTGTTTGCAATGTTGACTACGTGAAATATTTAGTTGCGTTCTTATTGGTTAAAAAGAGGGTCAAAGATGGGGGAGGGGGGTGTATGTCAAGAGGCGCGATTTTTATTGCCAGATGGACACTAATTGGCGCATTTTTGGTATTTTATGAAGTTCTGGGAGCAATTTAAATTTCCAGCAAGATATGTATGATTGCCCCCGAGGGTTGCTTGATCTTTTTATTCTGAAATAGATTCAAAACATGAATGCTGGAGGTCAAACACACGCGAGAATGCAACTAATCGCATTCGCAAATATTTCAATCAATTTTTCACCAAACGCCTTCAGAATTCGTACATGGTAGCTTTAGATACTGACTAAGCTAGAACACTTTGTCTGATATCCTTGAAAAACTCTCTTACCTCCAGATTAGGCTGTTAAACTGATGACCTCTAAAGAAATCGCGCCTCTTTACCGTCTCCCGGGGAGGGGGAGGGGGGGGGGAGGTTGAAAATTGGTGGAATCAGTGGGAAATAGCGGACCATGGGTAGCTCGGTTATTATGGAGAAAACCAATTACAGAAATGGCAGTCTGGTCTTCATTTATTCTATAATTTGAAAAAAAAACGAAAATGTATACTCTTTGTAGCGATATGCGAACCATATCAAACATCTACATTGGAAATCTGGCTGCTGCTGATTTACTTCTTCTGGCTGGGACTCCTATCGTGATTATGCAGTCAATAACTGATGATTGGAATTTTGGCACATTTGTGTGTAAAGGATTCATCACTGGAAATGGGGTAAGTTGAATCTGAGGCTGCATCCAAAGTTGCACGTGCCATCGCCAGCTAGCGCCCTGCACCCCAAATGATCAATACGAGGCGCATGCACATGGGTTCCGGCACGGCGTTGGCACGACGCTGGAACGGAGCCGGCACAGCCCTGGCATCCAGTCTACTCTAGAGCACTATGATGAAATACAATACTAGATAACCGAACTATTTAGATTTCCCAATTCGCATCGGCGATGTTCATCGCAGTACTATCTTTTGATAGATATTTGGCAGTTTGTCGGCCGACCCGTTCTTCGGTGCTGCGGACTCGGCGAGCTGCCACCGTTGTTACTGTTATGACATGGGCAATTGTTGTAATTGAGAATATGCCCTTAGCTATGTTTGTACAGGTCACACCACTACGTAAGTCATGCTTTTTGGATAAGTGCCAAATATCGAAAATTAAGTTTACCCTTCCAGGAGGGTCAGACCCAGGTAAACGCAAGTGCCTTCTGGTCGTCAAGGACGAAGGGGCAGCTATGCATTTTTCACGGGAGTGAGTTTTATCTTGATTTCGAACATAACATAGTCTCATAAATTTTCTAATGCACTATATTTTCAGATTCTTTACATTTTACACTTTTACACTGAGTTATCTACTGCCACTCATGGCTATTTGGTTCTTTTACGCGAAAATTATACGTAAACTCTGGAGGCGACGCCAACAGATGCATCTGAAACGAAAAATCTCGAAACGAAAAACTACAAAGGTGTGTTGCATATCAAAGAGATTTCATACATTCTATTAGGGTAGAGCTCAAGTTCGTTTAAAAACTTTAATTGAGTTGCTAAGTCTAAGGAAAAAACGGATCGCGATCATTTTTTCCGTCGCAACGTGTTTATCCTGGTAATCCCTTCGAAATGTAATAACTTTTCTTGAAGTGGTAAAAGATGGCGAGTGTGTGTGCGCTGCAATTTAGCGATTCAGAGTAAGTCTTAAAATGCTGGAAATGTTTTTGTTTACGTCGCAGCGTATTCATCGCAACAAAAACGTTGCAGTGCGTCTTTAACAGAAATTTCATAGATATGTGAATAGAATTGGATTCAGCGATTTCCCGACTCAAATAATGTTTCAAAAATTGAAAAGTTTGTGCTAAGCATTTAGCGACTGTTCAAATCATTTTATTGAGCCTGTATGATCGATTATCACCACTTGAATATTCTTTTCAGTTTGGGATTGTCCCCAATTTTTATCGTTGTCAAAAATTTAAGTTTATCCCTAAGCTGCCAAAAAAAATCAAGACTTTGTGCCCGAAAACTATGGCATCCCCAAGTCTCACAAATTACTAAAATTACTCAATTCAGGTGACTATTATGGGTCTTTCGATTGTCATATCGTATACGCTATGCTGGTTGCCATATTGGCTTATTCAATGGTCAATAGTGCTGAATATTGGTTGGAATATGTGAGTTCGTTCATAGCAGTATTTGAGGAATCTTTACCCAAAGAGAAGCATTTCTAGGAATCTGTCGATACTAACATGTGCTTCATATGCGGCGTTTGCGCTTCTCTACATAAATCGAGCCGTCAATCCATTCATATATGTGTTTCTATCGGAGTCCTTCAAAAGAAATGTGAGTCAAAAGAACTTTATATAATTTACCTATCCAGATGTGGTAAACTTGGAATAGACACAAAACATTTATAACAAAAGATGAGAGCAGTAAAATATTTGGTTAGAATATTGAATCGGAAAATGACAAAATAACAGTTTATTTTTTTTGTACTTGCATAATTAAAGGATTGTAAAAGTTCTTTCACTACCAATCTTATTCATTAGCTCCTGTAGACTTTCGAATTTGCCTGAACTATTTCAAAAGATTGAAATGGGAAATCACTTTATATTTTCTCATATTTATGGGGACTAACGATAAGGTGAATAAGACTGCATTACGCATTTTATGTTCACCTGGTTCCTGTCTTGAAGCTGATATCAAATCTACCTTTTATATTTGCAACGCGGTTCTCTGGAAAAAGGAGCTGTTAAAACTGTGAAATAATTGAGCTTTCCATGCATAAGGTGCTTTAAAACACTTGGGAGTGCATGATTAGCATAGTATTGTGTGTTTTGATTTGAAGGAATGCTTAAACTCACGGGGAACTCAGTAAAGTGTTTTTGAACAATTAATTATTCCCAATGTGGTGTAGAACGTTTGCCAATTTTGGACTTTTGAACGCTCAAAAACTTCTTCCAAAGAACCGAATGCAGATATGAAAAGAAGATTTGAAATCATCTCACAAGGACGCATCTAATGATATGCGCAATTCACCACGTTAAGTTGGGATCGTTCCCTTGTTAGGCTTTTTTTCGCAAATCTAATATATATAGAATCGTTAGTTCAACTAAAAAATCTTCCATTAGCGGGAAACCGCGGCAGGTCCCGTACCGAATGCTCCCAGATTTAGCACCTTTGGATTACTACTAATATACATAGAAGAGTACATGAGCTTGGAGCAGTTGCTGATATATGCAACCAACTCGTAGTTTGTACAGATTGGCACTTGTTCTGTGGGGGAGGACTTTTTGATGTCTGATGATGCTGTTGTATCAGATTCGTATTCATATGTATAAGGATTTGAAGAGAACTTCTGACATCGTTTTTACTCAGCCTTGAAGGTGCTGATATCTTTGGCTCACTAAGGATTGAAGCGATGCAAAGTTTTCTCTCTATTTTCAGAAAAGTTGTCTTCCTTTTCGAAGATTCTGCCTGCTTATCCTCCAACCACTTTGACATCAGGCTTTTTTCTATTTCAAAATCTCGCTTTTCAGCTGTGCCTTGGTTGACTCCAAGCGGTAGTTAAGCTTAAGAGCTTACCTAGGGTTGGAAAATTTATAAGTGTTATTAGTATCGTTGGGATATACATTATCATATCCACTAACCATGGCCTATAATCAAAACTGAGATTCCATGAGAGTAGCGGTTGTGATGTTGTTTCAGAGTCTAAAGACAACCAAGTCTTATCTTATGCATCTCAGTACTATCACAAAAAAGAGGGTCGAGAGTTTCAAATCTCAAGCGTCTGATGCTGTGCACGGATATCTCTACAAAAAACGAATTCTTCCTCTTATCACCTTTAGCCGTTCCCATCGATTCAAAGGGGATAAAAAACACTCATTAGAAATGTACACAGGTGCCTACAGTACAGGGTAAGGCAAAAGTCTGGGAGCCGAGTTTGCATGTTGTAAATCACGAAACTACTGATGATTTTAGTTCTAGATTTGTGCCACATGATACTGCGATCATTCTCTACCAACCACACTTTACGTAGCTGAAAACGCTTGCCATTTGCATTCCTAAGGATTGGTTTTATCAAGCGAGTGCTTCTGCAGAGCGAAAAGAATCAAAATTTTTGGTATTCACAATTTATTTCGTAGCTAAAGATACTGTGAACATTCTACAGTAATTTGATGCACACAATGTAGAGGAGGCTTTGCGCTATCACATCGTAGTAGTTGCGTTTACCAGAAACTATTCTTTCGAAAACGCAAAATAAAAATTTGCGAATATTACCTGCGTACCAGTGGCCATTTGTCTCTAAATCAAAATTCCAAAGCTATAGGAGCGCAGCGAGTGCCGAGTATCAAATATATTCTTTCTATGAGTCTTCTATATAAGCATAAATTTGATCGATGGAGCAAATTCATACTTTCAGAGGTTGTAATTTTTCGCTCACGTTCGCGCAATCGCATCCAAATTTCCAATATGCGAGTACACTTGCCTCCACTTAAAATTCCAAAATTTTTTTCCTAAATTTCGCAAAAAATTTTTTTTCGTAGAATATGTTGTAGCCAAAAGCTTGCTCTATCATACTGCACACTTGCCTAGTGAAAGAAACAGTTATCATGACGACATGGGACGAATTCCATTTCGACTGCTTGCGTGCCACGACGGACAGACTTGCCAGGATTGTGAAAGGCTGCTTTGAAACCAAAAGAGCCAATTTCAAAATTTGAGAGCTGCGCTATATTTGTGAAGGTTCGGTTCATGCGTGCACCAAATTTTCTGTTTCTAGGAAGTTGCCTTCTGATTTTATCTGGAAAATTACTAGGCTCCCAGACTTTTGCCCCACCCTGTATAATTATCAAAGCTATTGCAGTAGGCCTCGCTGGCAGCTTATTTTTTTGTACAAGAGTCTCTAGCTTTTTTGCACAATAGTTCTGCGGCTACTCTCATCAGTTTATCAAAATTTAACTTTTGTTCAACTAGTATATCAGAAGGTTGAAAGCAATGTGTCATGCGATCAGAGACAAGCAGCAGCAGCCTATACATTGCTAAATGAGTATAACAGAGGAAAATAAAAATGTTGAAATAGTACAACGCGGCTAACTTCTCGAAATATGAGTATTTGAAATACGTAATACGCACAAATATCTGATAACGGCAGGACTGAATCCTAAAATTATGGTCCCCTTTTGAACTCCTCCAAATTCCGCCTTGAAACTTGGCAAAATCCTATACTTTAACTTAGCAAGAAACGAAACTTATATTTTGCTCGGTAGCATGAATACACTCTTTGATGGACAATGGGATTCAGCAAGAGAAATTGACCCGCGTCGATATTTAGGTACGGCGGTGTCTGAAAGAAGGAAGTTCATCAGGAAAATTTCAATCGTTTCAATTTACAAGTTTCTCATAAACACCTGTCGGCTCACATCGTCTTTACCCTGTAAGGATTCAAAAAACTTTTTTAGTTGAATGGGTAATAATCGCCTTGTTATTCCAAAACACTGTTTTAATGAACATCCTCATTTCTGAGCCCCAATGAGATGTGGCAAGATTTTAAAGCAAATTCAAGCAAAATTATAATCTAATGTATGTGAATACAGGGTTCTTCATGATAGAAATTTTATAAATTTGAAGTATTTCTGATTTTTTTCAGGTCTCCGAGCTCGTCTACAAAAACTCGACCCTCCATCGAAAAGCCAGCAACATGGCGACGACGCGAATGCTACCTCTGTCAACCAACGAAGCAAGTGATTCTTTGTGAATACAGATTGTTATATGCATGTGCGTAATAAATAATATTGTACAAAGCCTCTGGCATTCAGACATCTTCATTCAAGAATTGTTTCCATACCCGCGGAAGCTAGCTCTCTATCAAGACAATTCACATGGCCTCGAAAACAATGGTGCTGCAAAAATCATATACACGTCATGATGAAATTATAAAACAAAACTGGAGCAAACTTGGAAGTTCGAGTTATAAAAAAACCGTTTCAAGGGTAGGTAGAGTATATGACGATGATAAGAGAAATCAGCGTGATCATAATAATATAAAAAATGCGTATGAACACCAGATTCGGAGCGTGCGAATGAATTGGTAGAGACATGCCACCTGTGTCGCTGTGAGTCAGGATCCCAGCTGTAGAAATGGTATATCTGATGAGCATGTTTCGATCAGATGGAATCCAGAAATCACCGCGACACAGACTTAGAATGGTGAAGAATGTCTATATGACGAAACACACCTAGTACACGAAATGTAACGGCACCGGTTGAATGGAGAGAGAGAGAGAGAAACACCGGATGATAACACCCAACTTCATAAGGTCGTAATCAAGAAAGAGATGGGGTGGAAGAAAAAAACACGGAGGACATTGGACTGTTTGACATCGATAACCCATAGCAACTTATTCAACTTCCGAAGCTACTGGGCATGCAAGCGCTACATCGAGTTACCGTACGCATCTGGATATAGGTACCGTATGCCTACCGTACCTCGCGACACTCGCAGGCCACAGCAACTTCGCCAGTAATTGTTGCCTACAGCAAAAAATATTCTCAGGTGAACAATTAGCGAACCGTATGACTACCGTAAAATCATGGTACCCTTTCTGTAAAAAAAGCTAATATAAAACAACGAATATTCAAAAACGACAAAACACAATCTAAAAAAACACCAAGACTAGCGGACTGCATAAGGGTAGATCATCAGTAACCAGCAAACAAAGCATTGATAGCAGTAATGGGTGACTTGTAATTGAGTGAGAATCAGCGTCTACGACACCTAAAGAAGAGCGCAAATACGCATTTATAGCGCCTTTGCATTTATATACTCTAAATGATAAGATGGCTCTCGATTAGGACCTACAAGCGATTGGAAATGAAAATCACTAATGTCATCTATTCGGATGAACTAGAGACGGTGGCGCTGACTTGTGGATGAGCCAGAAGCTTCTGATGTTCTCGCGCCGACTTGAATTTTTTTTTTGTTAATTGTGCCCCCTAGAAAGGTGAAACGGCCATTGAAGCGATGCAGAATTGTGGGACTTCATGACTGGAACCGGAAGCTGGAGAAGCATGAACGCCTTTGAGATGTAAACTGTAGCTAACGGATGCTGATCGCTAGGACAATGAAGTGTTGTAAGCTTCATAGCAATGACGTCAAACGATGGCCCGTTCACGCGTATCTAAACATCACATTAAGTCAATATTGATATTATTAAAAATGTGGAAAAAATAGATGAAAAATTGTAAAAAAATTGTTAAAACTCCAAGTTTGAGCGCGATTTGGTATTGTGGTTCTTATTTATTTTTACTAGTAAAAGGTAGCTAAATAATCCTGAAGCTTGAAACATATGTCAAAAAAAATTTTTAATTTTGTATTTTCCACAAAGATATCTACAAAGCCGTGGTGTACCGAGAAACAGGGCTGAAAATGGTCTGCATGAATCATGAAATTATGCAATTAATTTATTTAATTGTAGATAATTTGAACAATTTTCAAAAGATTCAAATAAAATCTAATGCCTCAAATGGATTGTATTCGAGAACATTTGAGAGTCAAAATTCTTCAGAGAGCGGAATCTTTTCATTCGGAAACATTTTTGTAGGCCCCCTCTGGCAAAAAGCTCAGCAAGTGATGGACTGAAAAAAACCGTAACTTCAGAAAACAGCTACACTTTTTCCCACTATGACCGCTTGAGTCATTCAGTCGTATTAACGTTACATTCAACACCTATTCAAAAAATATTGATTAATGGTAATGAATCAGGAAAAATATATGAAACGTACCTTTGAAAGAGCCATGATGAAGAGTGGACCTTGATGAGAACCATAAAACATACAGAGCAGTAAAATCCCTATAAAAGAGAAATGTATATAAAAAAGCGTGATTTTGTAAACAAAAATATTAAACGTACCGTTAAGATAAGAGAGGTCGTATATGGAAGAGATATGTGTCAAAAAAGCCAGTAGCTAAGAGTGGTACTGATGCTAACGTATTGAATTGGGGGCGACGTCCTCGATGGCAAGGAAGTGCAGGTTGTAGTTCCCGTTTGACTACATCGCATGTCTGAAAACTAGCACATAAATGCGTCATTGGAATCGATTCTGTTGCACTTGCGACACTTTTCGAGAAGAAATGACGACGACGTTGAAGGCGATGATTGAACACATTACAGACAATACTGTGTAACATATGAAAGGCAAGATGGAAATGGATGAAAAATGCGCCGACGAGATAAAAAGAACTGTGACAAGTTCCAATAACTGGTTCGAATCACCTGGGATTCATTAGATTCTCAGGCTGTCAGGGTAGTTTTGGCAACTATATTTTCTTATATATTTCGTCCACATTTTTATTTATTTTATTTACTGGAAAAAAAGGACACAACAAAAATCGCAGAAATCGCAAATATCAACACGAGACATCAATAAAAATTGCTCCCGACCCGAAAGCCTCTTCGCTGGCCTTTTTGAATTATATCGCTTGAAAATTTGGGGCGGATTTTGTTGTGAAATGTTTTACCCTTTTTAATAACCTGGTAATTTGTTTAACTTTCTTACTTATCCTACACACCACAGAATTGAATTTGATTATCACAATTTTCAAAATTTCCCGCAAGTCCAGTAACTTTCCTGACAACTCAATAAGACCAATGCCTGGCAGGCGCCGAATGAAATTTTTTCGAAAAAAAAACTATTTCTTTGTTTAGTAGAACGTCGAAAGCAATGTATTCTCTCAACAAAAGAGCAGACACCATGCACTGTCATATTGAAAACGAAAATGACACTAATTTTGAGGGCAACTGATGTGTCTAGTCGATCGCCATAACAAAATGAGGTGCTCGAAATCATTGATACCAATTTTGAATGGAAAAAAATTTGTGATGACTGATATACGGCTAAGTTTTCAATACAACCGAAAGTAAATTCACGGAGTTTTGAAAATTATTATATTTCGCTGAAAAATAGAAAAATGCTTCAGGCATAAATATCGCGCAAAGCACAACTTTCGAAAGAGCTTTAAGTTGCTGAATTTTGATTATCTTGAATGATATATATAGGGAGGCTTTCAAGAGCCATTTTTAGATTGACCACCTTAATGTTTTGGATTCTTTGATCTACACAATCGGCTGGCACAATCTAGTCTGACTGTGTCAATAAAATCGACTACTTGGGTGGCACGTATGGAGTTTCGTTCGTCACTAACGCTTTGCTTTTTGTGTGTTCCCATCGATTACTTTTCTGCTTTCTCTCATGTTTTGTAACATTTATGTTAGCGCAAACAAAAAATGAGAGAAGATAAACAATAAATGCTTTGCACTGTTCGCTCATATGATGGCAAACGAAGGAGAGAAAAGATGACCAATCAAGGTCAGTGTTTTTATTTTACATGGTTCTGAACTAGAAAAGTTGGTTTAGATTGAAGCTAGGGTGCCAGTAAAGATGCAGTCACGATTCGAACAGAATCACCTTCGAGGCAGCCGGCGATAGATGCCAAGTAAGTTTTTTCTTGTGAAGTGACTATTAATGGGGCATTTCCTTATTTCAATCCGATTATGTCAACGGTAAAAGGTTCGAAACGATCTTTTTCTTCATAACGCACATCAAAATTAGAATCATAGGGAACATTGCTATATTCTCCTTCAGCCTGTCACCAAGATTGTTAATAACTTGCTGAAGAAGAGTATAGCAGTGATCAACATTATGCCAAGACATAAACAACCGAGTTTGGAGCAAAGGAAACATTGTTAGGAATTGGCACTTAATAGTGGGGTGATTACACTTGAAGTGAACTCTTTAAAAGAAGCTTAAGGGATCAAAAACCCACTGAAAGAAAGGATTCAATTTTATTCATTTCGCGTATGAAGATGCAAGCCATTCAAACGATTGTCTGAGGTTAATTAAATCACATTATGGGCAAAAGTGAGATATATAAGCAAAAGCTGCGAGGGTGGATTTGAGTTAGCATCTATTAAAGATAAATGAGGAAGTTTAACAGATACAAAGGAATTGCTTATGAGGATGAGAATGAAATCAAGATAATACACTGCATATAGCAACTCGACAAATTCTACGATCGATAGGAAAGGAAAGAAGCTGAGGGTGCGAATAATAAACGAAATGCAACACACGATGGAATTTTTTTTTTCGCGATAAATGCACTCGCGGCGCGCGCCAGTCGCGGTGACGATTGAAACAACGGGAAAGCGATAAAGCCGCCGAAAAGCCGTTCGGGATCGATGCCGAGTGTGTGTGTGGTGGAATGACGCGAATGTGCATTCACATAATATGTTCGTGAATGTACAGGCAATATGCATATCCACCCACGATTGGGGTCGCGAAAACCAAATCGCCGTGCCGAGCAACTCGTACAGCGAGTGCTCGAATCGGGTGCGGCAACAAGCACCGGTGAAGCCTCTGCCGTCTGACTGTACGTGGACGTCGGCGCCACCGCCGTCGATGTCACGGCTCTTATCTCGACTATCTAAAAAAGATCGAACGAATCATTGAGGGGAGTCCGTATTGGTACCATTCAACACTCCCCCCCCCTCCTGCTCCACACCCCCTCCCGCCCTTCCGCGCCTGTACTACCGATAGCTGAAACTTCTCCGAATGGGACAATGACGTGCGATGACGCCTTGCACGCAGAACTAGAATAAATAAGCAATCATTTGTTGAAGCACCTGGGGTCTGCAAGGAGAGATAAACGCCCAAGATTCAAAGTTCTGCATTTTTTACATGACCAAATTCTCTGAACTGCACTGTCAATTGAGTGAGCGGAGGTTCGTGCCAGGTATACACATCCACTGGTAGAGTGACAGATGGAAAAAATAACTGTTTGGATTTCGAGGCAGACAAGAGATTAAGAAAGATCTGTCGCAGATGTAATCTAGATTTTTGTCCTAGCAACGGTCTTACGCAAGCCTGGTACGAGAGAATCACGGTCATACATTTTATTGAAAGGTGGAATATGTGCCTAAAGGTATAGTTCACTTTGTATGGACGATTTGAAAAGAAAAAAACCCGCCAAAAATCTCTTTGTACCTTTGAATTAGTAATCACTTACATCATCAAAATCACACTGCCTGAGCAAAAGTTCAAATTAAACAATGAAAAGGCAAGAGAGACAGCATAGCAGGAAACGACAGAATGTGACGCATATCAATGGAAATAAAATCTCTTTGAGATTAGTCAGTATTTATGAGCAACGCAGAAGTTCCCGAATTTTCGAAATCCTTCTCGGCAACTGCGTCATAGACGTGGGCTATGGAATCAAAATGCAAGTTTTTCCCGAGGTCGATTAACGGGATGACTCACACTTGCGTCATTTATGCGTTGTTTCAGCTTAGATTCAAACTAATAGAAATGTCACATGACAGACAAAAACTGATAAATACAGTTATGGAAGAGGGCTGAATTTGAGAGCAAAAACTGTTGGAAAGATGATGAGAAATGTGTGGAGAAGATCTAAAAGGGGCGCAAGTTATCGAGACTGTAGGGTTGAAAGAACAAAACTCTTTTCGATGTGGAGTTGTAAAAGGTCGGTTGCAAGGTCAATCGAGATGTACTACGAATTGACAGAATCGGAAGAGGTCGTTCCCGTCACGTTTTGATCGATCATCCTAACTTTGAGAAAGGCAGACAAAGATGCAGAGAAAAGATTTGATTCATCAATGATAAATTGTGCAAGCTAAAAGTTCGAGAGCAGCTGTGATGGGGGAAGTGTGCCGAAATATCACGGAGGGATGGGTGACAGAAGCCCAGACGAAGAGACAAGAGCGGTTCTTGAAAGTGCAGCAAGAGCGCACTGCCCCGGCGATAAAACTTGAGTTCTTCGCTCGCACACCTAAGATTCCAGGAACTTCTGGAACACATATCACTCAGACCTACGCAGAACTCATAAAAGAGCTTAGTGTGAGAATCTGACAAGAGATGGCAAAGAAGTTCGTGAAGGGCCGCTAATGCCAAGTGGTTCAAAGGACTAGATGGTCGTGACAGATTCGCAAGCCGCATACGAATCATGCACTGGAGCATTCTAATCTGGGTTTTAGTAGCAAATCAGCTGAATAATGTAGGAAGATTCGATGAAAAGAGAAAGTGAGAAGAAATTTTTAAATTTATCATTTCACAATTTCTTCCTCAAATGCATTCAGAAGCATTCAGGATAGCGAGTAACTAGGTTCAAATAAATTAGCATGTCCTAGTCATCAAGGAAAAGTCTAATCTACTGTACCTAAAATTGCAGAAAAAACGATTGTTTGGATTTGTTGAGGACAAAAACGTTTTTGGAGGAAAAATTTGTTTCAGCGAAAAGCGAAAATTTTCAAGTCTTCAAAAGTACTTATCAAAGAATTGGATGAATTGCTGTAGATCAGAATCTATGCAGATTTAAGCGCTCATGGACAAGAGAAGTCGAGAAAAATTGGCCAAAAATTTTTAGGGATTTTGTTTCATAAAATAACTAACGAAGCTGAGCAAAACGGCCGTAGATTGATCCGTTAATCCTCTTTCCCAAGAGAAAAAGCCCTTTTCGACATCAAACCTCGCCGGAATGACAGAAGCGAAAACGAAGCCACACAACACACATGCATAAACACTGAGCACAGGTGGTGAATAACACATAGGTATACGGACGGAAGATTTTCGATCCCTGAGAGGGGGGGGGGGGGTAAAGACCCGCAGCGAGAATGTGTCTGTGTGCCGTTGTTGTTTGTTGTTGTCGGGGGTTCTATGGGGAGGGGGGGGGGGGGTTGAGAATAGAATGGCACATGGAGAGCGAGGAGAGGACGGACGGGCGCCAGGAACAAGTCTGATGTGTCTGACGAGTTAGTCGCTGGTGTACACCTTGGCTCTTCGACTTTCTTATCGTGTCAATCGATGAAAAGTTCATTTTTCTAATTTCAATGGAATGTTCGCGAAGGTGAGATAATGGGTTGAGTGTCAAGAAAATAGCGTGGGCATTGCTAATCGAGGAAAGTAATTTTTTCAGCCTCCTTCCAAAGAAGAAATTAGGGAAGAGATAATCTCGTTCTGCTTAGGGGTGGTCGTCACGTCATGTTCACGCCATAAATACGGCTTACGCACACGACGTGCTCATCGCATTTTACGCGCAAAACATTCGCATAATCTGAACGTGGTACGCAAATTCGCGTCGGGAAACTTGGTCGCAATTGAGGCGAAAGAAAATGAGAA